GAGAATCACTAACAAAGACAAGAAAGAATCACTAGCAAGAGACAAGAGTGAATCACTAGCAACAGACAAGACAGAACTGCTAGCAACAGACAAGGGAGAATCACTAGCAACAGACCAGAGACAATCACTAGCAACAGACAAGAGACAATCACTAGCAACAGACAAGGGAGAATCACTAGCAACAGACAAGAGACAATCACTAGCAACAGACAAGGGAGAATCACTAGCAACAGACAAGGGAGAATCACTAGCAACAGACAAGGGAGAATCACTAGCAACAGACAAGAGACAATCACTAGCAACAGACAAGGGAGAATCACTAGCAACAGACAAGGGAGAATCACTAGCAACAGACAAGAGACAATCACTAGCAACAGACAAGGGAGAATCACTAGCAACAGACAAGGGAGAATCACTAGCAACAGACAAGGGAGAATCACTAGCAACAGACAAGAGACAATCACTAGCAACAGACAAGGGAGAATCACTAGCAACAGACAAGGGAGAATCACTAGCAACAGACAAGGGACAGTCACTAGCAACAGACCAGAGAGAATCACTAGCAACAGACAAGGGAGAATTAACAGCAACAGACAAGGGAGAATCAACAGCAACAGACATTTAGAAAAACAGTTACTAGTGAATCACATGGAAACAGAAATTCATTAGTGAAAATCACAGAAAGATACATTAACAAATGAGCCATGTAGAATTAAATAGATTCTCTTGTATAACATCTTTTCAAAAATTAAGAATGTGGTTGTAAGTTAATATCTTTCAAGTCATCTTCATCACATTGTTATGTCCAGTGTTCTCATCATTCATCACTGAAAGAGCTTGATTTGAATATATATGAAAATTTTATAAAAATGAAAATGCATACCAGTGAGTAGAAGTAGCGGTTGACGCCTTCATTGGTCCATGGCTCATAGAAATATTCAGCCCTCCTTTCTTCTTCTGGATTGCCAACTACATCTGTCATGGTCTAAAAAAAAAAATTGGTAATAATAAAAACAAGCATCTACAGAAACCATAAAACAAGGGACTAATATAAAATTATTAAAAAAAAAAAAATGAATTAGCTATTTAGAACTAAAACTTACCAATATGTAAGAGACAAAACAAATTCACAGGAATATCAGGAGCCTCTTGCAGTAGTGAAAATGCACAAGCTAGCCTGGTTGGGGCATGTGGTGAGACATGATTTGACTGCAAAGATTATACCTCAAGAAACATTAGGGGGTAGTCAAAGAAAGAAGAAAGGGGCCGGGAAACAGAGAAGGACAGCATTAAGAAATGGACAGGAGTAAGTTAAGACAAATGGTATGATAGAATAACTAATGTAGAACTTTGGGAGAGAACTAAACAGGCTCCAGTGGATCAGGAGGTGAGGAAAAGACGCTGGCGTTGGATAGGGCACACACTGAGAAAACAGGAGAACAGCATAACTAGAATGTCTTTGCATTGGAACCCACAGGGGCATAGGAATAAAGGAAGGCCAAAAAACACATGGAGAAGAGAGCTGGAGAATGAGGTTAGAAAGACTGGGAGGACATGGGGAGAGCTCCATGTAATGGCGAAGGATAGAACGACTTGGCGTGAGTTGGTTGAGGGCCTATGCTCCATTGGGGGATAAAAAGGCAGAAGAAGAAGAAGAAGAAATTAAGACTCAAGTCCAGACGTGGATAAACAACCAGAACTTTCTGCCAAAGATTACAGCTGGTGAACATGATGAAGAAGAAGATCTGTCTTAAGGAGCACTACCTCATCCAACATTTTATTACGCCATGATATTCCTCGTATTCTTCTTAAAAAAAAAAAATCTGTTACAAGTAGGTGTTTTCTATCGTGTAGAATGTGGACTGTCTATTTCAAATGCTGGTAATCAGTTCTCTCTGTGACTTTATCTATCCATGGATTTCTCACTTGTCTTCTACAAAACCACATAACAGCAGCTTCTGCATAACTTCTCACTATCCTGCTGACTGTCTATGATTAACTTCCGTACATCAGGATTGGCTCTATATAGCTCTGAAGAACCTTTTTTCTCCCTGACTGACAAAAACAGACTGCTTGTCCTGAATGATGTGATATCGATTCAGTACCCAGATGAACCAAGACAAATTGCATAGATTATTATTCGCCCAGTGCCTGAGGTATTCTAGATTTAACCGCTCTTTAATTCTTCTTCCACCTATCATTTTCAAGGTACCTAAATACTTAAAACATAATTTACTTCGATGTTGCATTCTACAAGACATTTTTCTCTTTAATTGCCATTACTTCTATTTGTCTGTTGTTCAGACCAAAAGCTGTCTTGACTTTTGGTTATTTTAATAATCATTTCTTATAATTGCATTACATTTTCAGCAATCAAAACCAAGTGATCAATATATCACAAGTTGCTTACATGATGCCACTAGCTGATATTCACGGCACACAGTGTATGGATTAATTATTATTTCAATGTTCTCATTTTCCTTTGAAATCAGAGAGCATCTGCCTGAATGATGAGATGAAGAATCAACAGACTACACACACAAAAAGCCAGATCTGTAAAAGGAGTGCACATCCAAAAGTTGAGTCGCTGAGCAAATCAAAAGTCTGGAAATAAAAACACAACCAAGATTTTCTGCCAGAGTGTACAGATGTCAACGAAAAAACTACCAAATGAATTAATTGGGGGATATCAATTAAAGCTATCTAACCCCTTGTTTAATGTGTAGAAAGGTTCCTACATGGCTGTCAATTCCTTTCATCACTTTTTCTATCGTAAACTAAGTTAGAAAACAAAAAATAGATACCTTCAGATCCCTGGTTTGAGAAATAAGGAAGTTGCTGATGAACTCCTGAGGGTCTTTAGCAAAGCCCAGAAAGAACTCTCTCTGTGTCTTCAGCATGTTGATGTTTTCCACAGTTTCATGGATCTAAACAAAACAACAAGATGTTTTATTACTTCACAAATCTGGAAAAAGCAACCGTAGAAAACTGCTGTCTGTAAGGACATGTGTCACTAGCTCATGTGGTGGAAACAACAATCCTGAAATCTCATGCTCTAACTGGGGAAGACTTTTTTTTAACGCAGGCAGTCTTGCAGGTCACCTTCACCATCACCAAGGGCGGTTGTAATGACCATGTTTTGCATGGTGGCCCACAATCACAGATAGCTGAGCAGAAAACCCATGCAAGAAAAGACGGCACAGGATACTCGAGGCTGGAGAGATGAACGAGGAAAAGACTGAGGTTGGCTCTTGGTCAGTTGTTTTCCAGAGCTCAAGGAAAATAGTTGTGATGTAGTTGACCGCAGTGTATTAAACGTTGTATAGATGATTATAGGATTATCATAGAAGCTAGCAACTGTGATTGAACCGAGTGGAAGAATCGGGAGGAATGAACTGGCAGAATTTACATCGGAACCTGAGTGCCGTTCTGCATTGTTAATTGTAGACAGTTTTTGTTCCCAAAAGCTGATGGTTGTGCAAGTGTGAAACAAAGTCATATAAAGTAATGATGCTAACTAGAATGTTGAAACCCTAGTCTGGAAGCCAGGACAGAATTAAGCAATACTGAAAGCAGCAAGAATAATTACAGCGGTGATTCCCATGCCCCCAGAAAGCACATTATAACACTATCATCTGGAAAGACAGTAAGCTGCCAACAACAACCAGCTCCCAAATCTGGATGTGAGTAATTATTTCACAATTTTATGATCCTTGAGTGCAAGGGTTCAATTTCAGTAGTTGGTTAGTCAGTCTTTCCTCTTGAGCCTAGGGCGGTGCATAGGGCAGAGGTCACCGCTCTCTATGTCTGGCCGCTCGTGGCCACCTGTTTTAGATCTTAGAGGTTTATTTGGTCAATGGTTCAGCCTTCCCTGATGATGATTCTATGCAGGGTCTCTCTTGGTCTTCCCCGTTTTCATTTTCCCTTCCAGTGTCCATAAGGAGGCTTGATGGGGAAGTCTGGTCTTATCCAATCTGAGTACATGGCCAATGCAGTTCCAACAGCGCTTTCTTATAAAACTGGATACACTATCTTGCTTGGTCTCTTGACTTATTTGCGTTTTAGATCTGAAATCTGTCCAATGGAGATTTACTATTCTTCTAAGACATCTGTTCTCAAAATTGCCTGGTTTTTTTTTTAAATTTATCACTGTAAAAAGTAAAGTCAAGGACCCTTTTCCCCGCCTTTCCGGCGAATTGGGTATACAGGGCTAGACCCATATTTTATAGACCAAAAGGCACTTGGTAGATGATGTGGTCAGCATCACGCCGGCCGCCTTTACTTCCCAGGACTGCACCTGGTACCCACTCAAGGCTGGATCGACCTGGGAGCCAACGTCATTTTTGAAAAAAGTCTGGCCCCTGTCAGGAACCAAACCCACAACCTTCTGATCTACAGACGAGTGTCCAGCCTCTGGACGACATCGGCTCTAATTTATCTCTGTAGTGTATGGTTTTAAAAATAAAAAAATACACTGTTCTTGCAGTATTCTCAAGAAAAAAGAGTCGCACTGTGGCAGAAATTAGGGCCTCCGAGTCATACTCTCAAGTGGGTGCCAAACTTCATTGTGGAAATGGCATCACATTTTTTTAAAGTAATTCTTGACAGTAAAGAAGTTTTTCTTTAGCTGGTAAGAAAATTATAGGTAATTCTTTCTTTTAAAGATATCCTTGAATGAATAAATGAATCAAGAATTGACATTACTGCTCTCAGGACACTAAATCTGAAATTAAATTTAAAAAATGCTGATGTTCAGTATGTGTTTAATGTTGATACAGATTAACTTCTGCCAGCACATATATTTGTTAAACAATTATATATATGTGTGTCTTTGTCTAACTCACAATCTATATTACTATAGATTAATATGACCATTTACTCAAAGGACAGTCTACCTAAAATTCCTACAAGTTCATGACCCCCCCCCCCCCCTTTCCCCCAATTTTGTTTCAATAATATTCATGGTGCAAAAAGGTTAAAATTAAAATGAAGTCAGTCACCTTAGCATCCAAGTTAGCAATCTCTGTCTGGTTCTGTGTCGACATCACAAATGCATTCATCTGCTGTTTTAGTGTGTCGTCCTGAAGAATACATGAGAACAAATAATTTAAATTATTATTATTTTTTGGAAGAAAACAAAACGGAACATAATTATCCTGACCCATTGGCATTGTTAAAATTTAAAAACAACTATAACAAGACATCGACAGATTGTGGAGGGAGGGAGGAAATAAGAAAGAGGCAGGCACAGACAGAGAGAAAAATACACAGTGAGATTAAAAATAAAGCAGGCATGAGAGTAAGAGCTATAGGAGGCAGGATATGCGACTAAAGCAGGATATGTGACTGTCAGAGAAAGATAGACAGACAGACTGACGGACAGACAGAGAAGGTATGTATAAAACAATACAACCAGGAAAGGGAGATAGTACAGGCATGGAACAGAGCAAATGTAAGGAACGGAACAGAGCAAATGTAAGGAACGGAACAGAGCAAATGTAAGGAACGGAACAGAGCAAATGTAAGGAACAGAACAGAGCAAATGTAAGGAACAGAACAGAGCAAATGTAAGGCATGGAACAGAGCAAATGTAAGGCATGGAACAGAGCAGATGTAAGGCATGGAACAGAGCAAATGTAAGGCATGGAACAGAGCAAATGTAAGGCATGGAACAGAACAAATGTAAGGCATGGAACAGAGCAAATGTAGGGCATGGAACAAAGCAGGTGTAAGCCACAGTGCACAAATAGCCCACTCACAATCTCAACATCAATGTCATAGCAGGCTGTCTTCTTGGCGTCTGGACCTTCAACACTGGAAAAAAAAAAAGAAGACACAAGCATTTATTAACGTTTATCTGCTTTAAACATACCTATGAAATTACCACAACAGATACAGTTTTAGCAAATTAAATTTTTGGCAAAGAGAAACATCGGTGCAAGTCAAACTTTATGGGTCGCTGAGTGAATTACAAAAGACAGTGAAGTTCACACTAGAAACACTATTGCAGATATAGATAATCTATTTTAAGCGACCAATAGAATGAGAAACAGATTAAGAGCTAAGCAATTCACATTCATGGTATCAAGTGTCAGGTTTACGCAGCCTCTCTCCTCACACACAGTCTATATTAGTCGATCTTCAGAGAAAGAATTAAGAGAAAGGCATTTTCCACTATCTAAGGATAGAATACATTTGAGAAATGAAAATAGTGCAGCACAGTCTTGATGTTAATTAGTTTGCAAATGCTTTTCAGCTGCAGAGTGCGTGTGTGTGTGAGGGAGCATGTGTGTGTATACATGCTGATACACACACGTATGTATGTAAACACATATACACACAGCAAACATATGAGATGAGCTGAAGCACTAAATAAAAGAGATGCACAATGGATAATTTCTACAAATATAAGCAGCAGTAAAGATTAGCATAAAGAAATCTAAAGAAAAAGAAATAAAAAAAGATAATTAACATTATTCAACTGAAGCCTAACAAAAATATACATTATCCACATATTTATGCATATGTTTAAAAGGCCAAAAGAAAAACATTTATGTCACTACATGTTGAATATAATAATGGGGTCTGGAAAAAATTACATTATCCACATATTTATGTATATTTTTACCAAAAAAAAATAAAGACACTTACGTCACCACATGGTGAATAATAATGGGGTCTGGAGGCATCAGTAATGGCTGGAGTTTAGATGGGATCTCTGAGAATTTCATACGCTTGCACTCAAATATCTGCAACAACAAATATCAACAACAGAGAATTAGAAAAAGCAACCTGATAGCCTGTCAAACCATACACAATATACTGACATTTTGCCCAATATGTGGAAAGAAAGAAGCCTGTTGAACAGTTAAAGCACTGTTTGCTTCTATGGTCTGCTAACACATCTTTACAATATTCTTTTCTGAAATGGGAGTCTAAAAGGGTTCACTGCCCAGCCACCGAGCTGAGTGCTTGGTGCGACATTCTGAGCTGTGGATTTTATGTGGAATGCTTTTTTGTCTGAGTCAGTAGTGGTTTTGTGTTGTCAACTGCACTGAAAATGGCTGGTGGCTGGTTATGCCCATGTATACAGATGCAGTTTTATCATGACTGACTACATCCATCAACAATAAACTACAATTCTAGTGGATGATTGTGAGCACTGGGGCCACCTTATGTATTTACTTTGCATGTGCAGAATTTTGCTCCAACTGATCTATTTTTAGATACAAAAGTGGAGGGCATTTTGTTTGATTTTTACTGGCACATGAACAGTATTTATGGGTGCGACACATCTGCCATGAAATTGGGACCATGACTATTCATTAACCACTATAATATACAGAAAAATAAATGTTAAGTAAACTGGTTGTCTTTCATGAATACAACAACAAAATGTATGCACTTTAGACAGCAATATCTACATAAACCAGATCTTTTCAATGGCAGCCTGTGGGCCAAATTTATCCTGCTGAGGGCTAGCAAGTAGCCCATGGGTCATTGCCAGTGTACTGCATGAATGATCTTTCAATGCTGAGGCTTGGATCTCTGGCCCATGATAATCCCCATTATTGCAATTCTAACCCCTGAGTAAACTTAGCATTAATAGCCCTGGTTAAACCTCCATGATGTGCTTAGAGTATAGGCCAGTCAAAACAGTGGTTCTATGGTCACTTCCAGTGACAGTTTTCAAACGATTAGGGATTTGAGGTCTCGATCAGAATTTGTCTTTAAGGTAACAGAGACTCCCCTGGGAAAGTAAAGATAGCTGGTATCATCTTGACAATATTACCTCTTGTGTATTTTTTTTGACAGACTAAGAATATAATGCCAATGCTATGATCGCAATGTGGATTATTTGGCTTGCAATGGGCCATACCTAACTGCAAAACAGGTTCTACTGTCCAGCTAGTGAGCTGGGTGCTTGCTGCAATAGTCTGAGCATAATATGAATATTTGTTTCATGCCTGCGATGGTTTGGGCTGTAGATGTAATGAACGACAGGGCGCATTATGTTTTGAGGCTTTAATTTCAAGTTTGTCAAAATTGCTGCTGCCAACGATGATCAATTTCAGTTCTACTGGTAGACGGTGTTGGCACCTCTGGTAAGTGTCCTATGTATTTACTGCATGTATGAGCTACTGAATTTTGCCTGATTTGCTTCATTAGCTTTCACTGGCAAAGAACAAAGAATAAAGCAATTATTGGGTGGCTTAACAATTGTGAAACTAAGCAAATTAATGTAACAGTTACACATGCTAATATTCACACATACCTGCTCAAAATATTTGTCACAGTTGATGTACTCCCTTTCACTAGAGTCTTGGAGTTTGTGTGTTTTGATGTACTGCCACAGAGCATTCACAATAAATGGCCGAGTCTGGGTGTGGATGCCCAACAGCCTGGCAAGTCGGTGGTCAAGCTTAAATTGCATGGGCTGTCAAGGGGACACAATACAAACATTAAAATTAGATACGGAAATGGTTAACTTGAAGTGACTATTTTCAATGAGTTAGAAAATTCTTCTTCTTCTTCTTTCGTTCGCATGAAATAAATTGTCTATATCTGCAAAGCCGTCTCTTGTATGAATTTCACTGTCTTTTGTAATTCACTAAGCGGCCCGTAAAGTTTGACTTCCACAAGTCTCTCTTTTGGCCAAATGTTTTGCCTGAAAGCGTTGAATATGGGACAGTCTTGAAGGATGTGATCTGTTGTTTCAGGTGCCAGTCCACAAGTACACATGGCCGATTGGCCAATCTTAAATTTGTTGTACATGTTGGAGCGAAGTCTATTGTGCCCTGTTCTAAGGCGAAGGATAATAACTTGCTCTGGTCTGTCCATAATATGGTAATCAGTTAGAACATGAAATGGTAGTCACCGCTGTTATGTCTTTTTCTGTGTTCTTCATTGATAGGAGTGACCAGGGGAATCTGGCCAGATCTGGAGGAAGGGGCGAGACGGATGTAGAATCAGACTTTTACTGGAACTGTGTACTTACTACTGAAGATTATAGAGTGCTTAGAGAAATGCCCTGAGTGGTATCATGCTGGTTCTTAACTCATAAGGCGTTCATACATTTTTTATTGTGTTGAATCTGTTATAATCTAAACTGCAACATTTGCACATTTCTTTTCCCCACCTGACATCAACATCAGCAATCAGGATTTTCTTTCCACAACTCCAGACGAGACCAGGGTTGCCTTTCCTTAACTAAGAGCAGTAACCAGGGTTGACTTTTGTCAACTAAGGAATAGTAACCAGGGTTGTCTTTCTCAAACTTCAGAACAGTAGCCAGGATTAATTTTTTTTCAACTTTAAAATAGTAGCCAGGGTTGCATTTCCTCAACTTCAGACCACTGCCAGTGTCTTCACTTCAGCAACGTTACTAATACTGCCTTTTCATTCAACTATTGAAAGACTTTTAACATGCAAAAAGGACCATCAGGTCAAATATTAAAAATAAAAAACCCAGAGAAATTTGATTTACTGGGAAGAGATCAGGAGGGAGTATGATAAATCGTTGAATTTGAAAAAAACACAAAAACTAAAAAAATAATAGAAGATATCAGAAACTGCAGTTTTAGTTTTGGGACAACACTAAATAGAATATAAACACAGTAAAAGATGAGCCAATCAGCAATCTCATAACAATTACCTGGTAGTCCAGCATCAGCAAGACTTTGCACTTGACATTCTGGTCTCCCGGTCGTTTCACCTGGAACCCATCTGTCTCTTGAGTACTTGGCGTTCGGTGCCACTAAAGATAAACAATAAAGATTAATAAAACTAAAAACAAAAGCATCATTATATTTCTGCACATACTATGCTCTGACTAGTTCTGATTTAAATTTGCGGTCACATTTGCCATATTTCACTTCTAAGTGGAAATTCTAATGACCTACACAGGACAGTTACACAGACTCTTTAGAGTTTGTGCATCAGTTCAGAGTCTTTGGGTCTTGGTATAGTGGCTGACAAAAGATGTTTTTGATGTTTCCCAGGTCACAGGTGGTGCTGCACATCAAGCTGGTCCAGAGAAGCCCCTTATTACTAATCAGCTCTATAGAAGGCAGGGGCAGAACATGAGCATTCCTTGTCATCGAAGGAGGCCTCAATAAATGCAGAGCTAAAAAATAGTGCTCTGATACTGAGCTCACCCAAGGAATCGTCACATCATGCTCATGACTATTTAACCTCGCCTCCATAAACTGAACATCTCATTCAACATGGGCTATGTCTTTGGAAGCCAGCAGTAGGCCGCCTACAGACCTAGGACTTTGTTACTTTGATTACATACACAAAATGTCTACTTTACTTCTTTTTTTTTTTTGTATGTTAGACTACCTACATTCTTTTGAAAAAACAAAAAAGACAACGATACACTGACTTGGTACTGAAAGAGTTAACAAAACCAACCAGCACAATGTCCCTTACCTCAACTAAGTGGTTATCCAGCCCATACAGCTCTTTATCCAATTCAATAACCAGTGATTTAAAGAAGGAGGAAAACTTGCGTTTTATCTTGTTGCTGTCACTCAGTTTGGCAGAAGCAGCCTGTGAATTTAAAACATATTCATAAGGAAAATAAAACAATGCTAAATGCACAAAACAAACAGAAAAATGGCTTTCACAAAAGTGCTCACGTTAAGACAATTTATTGCTATTATTTGTATATCTCTGAGAAATTTTCTATTCAGACTATAACAGACAATCATAATCATCACTCTAAGAGGAAATGCAACTTGAAAACTTAATGTTATGGCAAGGCAGATCAGGCCCTTGGCTTGGTTGGCAGTTGATTTAGGAGAAAGCTCTGCCGTGTGGACAGACGGAACACTGCTCTTCTGATCGGGTAGCTTGTGCTTTACTTTTGTTTTTCTTCTAAATATCTAAGGTGTTTACCCTACCTTAGGAAACAAGGCAGACTGAGAGAGAGAGGGATCATGCTGCACTGGCAACACATGGTCTCTGCCCAGGCTTTGTGTTGTGAAGAGGAGGAGCTTCGACCCTGGCCATAACTGATCATGGGCTGTGATTTCCATACTTCCCTATAGCACAAGACAACACTGTTGTGTGGAAAGATACCAATAAATTATCATCCTCATCAAACACCTTGTTAAGTGAGTGGCTTGGCTGATTGTAAGCATTCTTCTGTAAAACAATCTCTCTGTATGTATTCTTTGGCTTGTTTACCAATTGTCCTGGATTCACAGTCATGTGTGTTAAGAGACACTGGTTCTATATAACACAGACGAATTCTTTTTTATATCCTTAATAACACAGATTGATTGCAATACTCGCTCTCAAAGACAGAAAATGAACAAGCAGCTAACACAATAAATAGAATAACAGTAAGAAAAATGTTCAAAAGCTGCAATTTAACATTTTTTAACCAACTATTTAATTAATTCCTTCACACACAAGAATAAATTATTTTCAATGCGTACTCATAGATATTTAATCTTCAATTTTATCGTAGTGATAAGTATTTAATCATTAAACTCTTGCAGTAGTAAATACTGATATTTTATCCAAATTCTATTTAAAAAAACTGGTAAATCAGAACATTCACTAAAAATAAACCCTTTCCTCATAAATAAACAAATCACAATAATGCACTGTACACCCCAACACCAGAATGTGAATACCATAGCAATTTCATATTTACCACAAACTCTTTCTGTCTGCACAAAACAAAACAAAAAAAGGCCATGTGGTTCAAGTCAGAGAGAAGTGCTTGGTTTTAGTATTCAACTTACGTCTTCTAGCAGACGTCCTTCAACACGAAGTTCCCAAGATGGTACAGACTCATCTCCATCCTGATGGTTGGAGAAGATGAAATATGTGCAGGATAACTATCATGATTTTATGACAAACATGTGCAACATCAACTGATCTTAAAGTGAAAATGCTAGTAGGAAAGTGCAATTAAAACAAATATCTTAGTCTCCTAAAGTATTTCCAGATGGTACTGTCTGCATTTTATCACTAACTCATTCACTACCTAACAACTTAAAATGTATTTGTTAGGTTTTACTTCTTACATTATTTTCATGTAGGTTTATCTCAAATCCTTCTGCAACATCCAGTAATCACACTGACCCACTCTGCTGCAGCTGTTACCCTAACTCCTTATCCCTCATAGTATTATCATTTTAACCCATTCTGGCCCTAACATTTATTAGCAACAAGAAAAACTCTAGGATACAATGATTTAACAATTTCTGCCTGATACTAAAACAAAATTGAGAATGATTATATGTGGTCATTTACATGCTATTCGTACCAACTTTGTGCTATCAATGCCAGATATGGACAATCCTAGAAAAACATAAACATAAAAATTACATGTGAGATGAGATGTATGAGACATGTGACGGGGAAAAAAGAAGAAGAGACAGAGTCACCAATGAAAAACTAAGAACAATAGTAAGCACACTACTGGTGAATGATTTCACAGAACACTAAAGAATCAAATGGTTTGGTTAGCTGGTCAGAATGGAACAAAATCAGCCGGCAGCTAGAGTGCACTGCATGAGAACAGCAGGCTACAAGTCAAGAGGCAGATAAAGAAAGAAATGGGTGCAAGCAGCAAACGGGTGGGACATTACAGAAAAGCAAATTGACATTAACACAAGCTACGCAACTAGCAAAAGACAGAAAAAGACTCCTCTTAGCGATGCACTGCAGACACAGTATAGTTACATATCTATCTCTGACGTATTGAATGGGTCTTCTGGAAGTCCGTGCTGTGTGGTACTGGTAATAAAGTGCCTGTCCACAGTAACCTGACCTGTCACATGTACTGCCAATCAATTTTTTAAATACAGATGTCACTTTATGCTGTGATGCAAACTGACTAGCATCTTTCTTTTTGGGTTTTCTTTTACTTCTCACATTTTTTTCAGCATTCCAGACCTAGAGGTTGACTGCTGCAGATGTCACATGTACTGTCAACTGGTCTTTTTAATACAGATGTCATTTTATGCCGTGATGCTGAACTGCCTAGCATCTTCCCTTTCAGTTTTCTTCTTCTCACATTTAATTCTTGAGAATTCTGAGCCCTAGCAGCTCACTGCTGCAGATGTCACTCGCCTCCATTCATCTCTGATGTGGATGACCTAAAGACACCCTACGAAGGACAGTAGAATGGGAAATAAAGGAATGTAAAAAGACAAAAAATACCAGAGGCAGAAAAGCAGCAGACGGGCAGCAGTGGAAATCACTTGTGAATGCCTAATGTGCCAACAGTGACCTAAAGATGATTTAGAGAGACAAGAGATTCATCTCTGCGACTGGCTTTCTCTGCCCAGTTGGTACTCTCTAAAGTATTTGTAGGTCTGCCTATATACTCTCACATGAAATAAACAATACATTTCTATTATATCTTTTAAGAAAAATAATAAATAGGTATTACACACTCTCCAGTGTTTAGGAAACTTACCTCTGCTTCCTTTGGAGGGAAAAAAGTATTCGAGATGAATATCCTCAGTTTGCGTTTTTGCTAAAAGACAAAGGAACAAACATGAAAACATTAATTTACACATTTCAATATCAGCTGGGAAAGAAACTGCAGACAAGAAAAGAGAATGACAGTAGACAGTTATAAAAAAACCGAAAACTAAAGTGTATAAAAGACTGTAGCTTAGCTGCAGCCATAAGTTTTCACCGAGTCCAACTTTCATGTAGTAGAGTTTAAAAAAATAAAGTAAAAGGAGCAGCTCTCTCCAGAGTTCAACTCTTTCCCAACCTGAAAAGGAGCGACTTTTTCAAAAATTTCACAAAAACAATGTGCTGAAGACCGATAATAATAGACTTGAATGCTTCAATGGTTGAAAAAACTTAAAAACGTATTCATTTTATCACTGCATGTTTTTCTACAGGTAGTTAATGAGAACGGTTTGTTTCCTTGTTAGTGAACCCAGCATTTTTGTCTGTGACTTATTCCTGTTAACTGCTGCTTATCTGGCATTTTTGATGTGGCCTGTCTCAGAGAAGCCTAGTTAATGACAATAGGTTCTGTGTGCACCTGTGCAGATATGAATATATTTAGCAAAAATAGCATTTAAGGGGGTTTGCTTGTAAACAAAATGACTTTTTAATGCCATTTTAATGTCATAATTCACTCACAGATATACTGTTAGAATACCAATGAGGTCATAAATGAGCCACTGGATAGGTGTTTTTAACTCTTTCTGTCCCAAGCAAGGCAACCTATATTCTCAGCTTATGTCTGTGTATATCAATGCAATACATGGTTTGTTATCATATTTCACGTTTCGTCTGAGTATGCAAAAGAAATATGGACAAATAATTTAAATGCAGCACAGCATACAGTATATTTGAAAGTCCTGTGCTGGTGCCTTTTCCCGGTGTTTATTGTGAGAAATTGGGTTTTTACTTAAAAACCACCTGGGACTGAAAGATTTAAGGGCCTCTGGAAATGTATTCCATTATTGCTTTACTCATCTGGGTTTCTGCATAATTTTGACAACATCATTCATCGAGGGCTAGCCCATAAAAAACAGGACGCTAGTACCACAGGTTCAATACACCTTAAAGGACAGAAACAACTCCTTTACTTTGGCATCTATGTGTTATGTATGGGTATGTGTGTGTGTATGTGTGTGTGTGTGTGTGTGTATGTATGTATGTATGTATGTATGTATGTATGTATGTATGTATGTATGTATGTATGTATGTATGTATGTATGTATGTATGTATGTATGTATGTATGTATGTATGTATGTATGTATGTATGTATGTAAGAATGAGTGTTAAGTATGTATATACAAATGAGTGTGCTTTCCAGGTAATAGTGTTATATGTGCTATGAGGAGGCATGGGACTCACAGCCCATGGGGATGGTGACTGTGGTCATCTTCTCCAAAGCACGAAGCCTGGGTAGTTCAATAGAGACCATTTTGTTGCCCCTGCATCATGATCCCTTTATCGAACTGCCTTGTTTACTCCAGTACGTTTGGAACAAAGCAGGTAGAAGAAGCTGCCAGACCAGAAGAGCAATGGTCCACCTGTCCGCATGTCAGAACTTTCCTTACAGACCAGTTGCCAGACAAAGCTAAGGGCCTAGACTACCCTGCCATAACAGTAAGTTTTCAAGTTGCATTTCCCATTCCTAGGATAAGGCTACTAACCTCCCCAATGTGCTCCTTCGCCCGAAGCTGTTGGCACAATATGGGATGTTAGTTTTAGTATATGCCGCTGAACATTCAGCGTTAAGAGAAGACAGGTGGTACCAGCTCCTGTTATATGGTAGCTCAGTGATATCTGACCTGACCCAGATAAGTCTTTTGAAAGGCCGAATGTAAGAGTGACCTGCTTGCCAAATTTGTGACACTTTAAAAATAGAGATTTGTGTGTGGTTCATTTAAAAGAACAATGTAACAATTATCATTACTGCCATGCCCACCTTCATTGGTCTCTTAAGAACTTCCTGGATGTCCAGTCTCTTGCGCATGATGGTGGCATCCAGCTTTCTCTCGAAGGCCAGCAGATCCATGTAAGCCTGAGACTCAGGAACCAAGTCTCTGACCTAGGGATGGAGACCGACATCCATCTTATGTACATCTACAGATTTTTAGTTGTCAGTACCATTTATCAATAAACCAAAAATAACATAGTGTAGTAAATTGAATATATTATCTTGACTTTGATAGTACGAGTAAATCTATACTGTAACAAAAGGGAGAACAGACTGTGACTAAACAACTTTCAACAGCATATAAAAATACACAGAAATAAGAAAGGCAACAAGTGAGCTTAACTACATGTCAGCATAATGACACAAAAACTAAAATACAATTATTAACACAATAAAAAAATTTAAAAAAATTAAATGAAGCACTCAACAATTTAGTAGCCGTCACAGATGGTTTCACACAGACAATAACACAAAGAGTAGTAGCCTATTATTAAATGTCATTTAGACAATCAAATTCATAGATATGTTTACCCCAAGTAGTATGTGTCATTTACACAGCCATACAGATAAATCTAGAACATTCATTAAGTGTCATTTAGAAAACCACACAGATAAATCTATCCCCTTCATTAAGTGTCAATTAAACAACCAATCACATATATTTCTCTTATATTATTCCTATATTTTAGAAGACTGCACATGCTGTAGAGTGGTCAGTTCCTTTCCTCACTGCCATTTCTACCCCGCCTATTCTATGCACATTCTTACAATTATCTGGCATCAAATTGACGGAGACTTTGCTGACCTCACAGATACAATGGTCAGAAAAAAATAAGCCTGCTCTCCAGGCGACTGCTGTGAAATGTTCAGACATAAAATATACAGCCATGTTTACATCTATAGGAAAAATGCCATTGTTTTGTAAACATATTTCAATGCATCTTCTCCACCGCTACAAAACACATACAAGCTCAGCTAGAGTGATGCTTGTAATGGAGTTGGTGACATGTTCAATTCTCCTATGTACGGAAACTTTTGGGACACTCTGTATAAGGCTTCAGCACTAAGGATGTTGAAAGGAAGAGCAGGAGGAGAGAACCCTATCTACATCTTTTGCCACTTTCGTCAATGAATGAGAACACATGCATAATCCATTGACATTGTGCCTAAATGATGCCACAAGCAGTTTCTAATCCCATATAGACACACAAAAAAGTAGAACTAAAATGCTAATGTGGTACAAATGAAAATGAACAAATCATGTAACTATTTATCTCGAGCATATCCAGTTCAAACTTGTAATAATACTGATAATCTCACTTACAAGAAATATACGAAAGAAAGTAAATTAATGAGATACAGAACTAAACTGGTATAGTTTATAAATAGTGATCTAAATGCTTACCCTCTGTGGCAAGATTTTGTCAGCAATCTTCTTCTTTCTCTTCCTACAACAGAAGCAATACTAGATTAATTCTAAAAGTCAGACACACCTTAATAACACTTAACACATCTGAACTGAAAGTATGACAATTACCTGACAACACACATGAATGGTACTGATCTCTCCTTTTGCTGCATTTGATTAACTTTCCATTTAATATAATGATTATGTGTGAACAATTCTATTATCATCAATAGTTCTTGTAGGCTGTAATTCTCTTTCAGCATATTTCTGTAAATGAAACTTCATTTGGGATCCAAGCTACTTTAAGGATCACAGAAATGTGTGCGGGAACATTGATTTAAAACCTTTTGTTATCTGTATTTTTTTAAAAATCAGTGAATGGGTGAAACCTAGAGATATAAGGGGACATCAAATTAAAACTTTAAACTTTAAAGGTGTGTTAGAAATGTCAATAACCATGATGATGATGTAGCGACACCCATGGGTTAGGCGTGATAAGTCTGACTTGTAATTCCAACGTACTGTGATAGAAACCCACAGTGGCTGCATAGATTTTTATCATGGTATGGGGCATCACAGGTCAATCCAGCCTAAAATGGGTACAATGTTGTATGTCCTAGGGAAGCCAAGATGGCTGGTGTAATTCTGACCACATTACCCACCTAGTGCCAATTGATCTATCAAAATATGGGTGCTCTTCCCATATGCCCGATGCTTCTAAGGCGTAAAAAGGGATCTTTACTTTACTATGATGATAATGTTATAATTAGTTTAGAGAGATGGCTGCTCTATTTTTGACATGCACCAAAGAGAAGCAGTGTTGTGTTATCTGTATTTTAACAAAAATATATATCAGTGAAGGGGTGAAACCTAGCGATATAAGGGGACGTGAAATTAAAACTGTAAAGGTGTGTCAGAAATTGCAATAACCATGATGATGTCATAATGAGTTAAGAGATGTCTGCTCTATTTTTGACATGCACCAAAGAGAAGCAGTGTTGTGTTATCGGTATTTTAAAAATATATTTATATCAGTGAATGGGTTTAACCTAGCGATATAAGGGGACATGAAATTGAAACTGTAAAGGTTTGTCAGAAATGTCAATAACCATAATGATGTCATGAGTTTAGAGATGGCAGCATCAAATAGGAGCAGCATTCTGTTATTGTTTTTTTTTGTTATCAGTAAAGGGGTGAAACCTCGAGAAATGATCAGTGATGCATCCCAGTCAGTCCACTAAGTGAATGAATGGAAAAGGAAGTTTCAAAATGTTGTGCCTTCTGTGACATATGTTCAGCCACACCACTGTTGCTGAAATCTTATTCCTGATTCAAACTAACTTTAAGCAGTATGACAATTGTTTCCCGACATCAACAACACTTTGAGAGACAACTGTTTTACACGTCTGTATGTTGGGTCATGAATGACAGATAACAGAGAAGTAAAAACTGTATACACAAGAAAGATGAATGGTCGTAGACCACGAGGCAGACCAAGAAGACCATAGAGAGATAATATCCAGACAGACCTGCAAACACCAACTGGAAAGAGAATGCCAGCAAGAGAGATGATATCTGCAGTAATGAACCTCAAGGGCTCGTATATTAAGCATATACGGCTAGACTTATATTTATAGACCAATCAGCACATAGTGGGTGATGTGTTCAATATCATGTCGGCTGTCTTTAATTCCCAGGACTTTTCCCCCCTACCCATTTAAAGCTGGGTCGACCTGGACGCCAAGATCATTTAAAAAAAAAAGTCTGGCTCCATCAGAACTTGAACCCATGACTTTCTGGTCAGCAGGTAAGCATTTAGCTGCTACACCATGGTGGCTACATTTTGGGGGGGGGGGGGGGAGACTGTGACAATGGATATTTAAGGATGTACCATCTTGTGCAAACCTAAGAAAATCTTCTCTTTATAATTGCATTTGCACCACCATTGCTGACTGACTGAAGGCCAAGTGTTGAGTAGTGATTCTTCTATCAGTAAGAATAATGCCCTCAGTGCGTTTCAACATTTCTGCACTGGTAACTGTTGCAGGACATCTGCAGTGTGACTGGTTAAGCAACGCTGTATCCCCACTTCTTGATGTTTTGATTATCTGAACCCATCGACTGACTGTAGGTCTGTCAACTTCAAAACCCCCTTAAACTTCTCATAAATACCTGTTAATGTTCACAACAGTTTCCTTCTCTGTAACAAGAAAGTCTACCACAATTCGCTACTTATAATGTAAATTGTCAATACACTCTATTTTAACAGTTAAGGGTAGCCGTAATAATTGGCCGGTTGCTGTGCAATTTGGTACACATAATCTACACTCGCCAGATTTTGAAGTATGCAAAATTTCAGGTTTCTACCTTCTTTACTAGCTGAGAAAAAAATTATGTGGTGCATTACTTTCTAAACACCCCTATACTAGTGTTACATTTTTTTGTTTAAATTCACATAACTATTGCATAAATGTAATTATTATTTAACTACTCATAAACTAAGCCAAAAAATGCTTGTAATAGATAAACACAGTTTTGGTAGCTAATGCTTAAACAACTTAGAGAGGACAGTGCATATGCACTGTTGCACACACACTATGTAGGAGACAAAAATCTTACGTTTTGATCTGATGTTGTGTGCGTATGTCCTGTGAAGAAGGTCTCTTTCTGTCCATCCCAGCACCAGGCAGAGGAGGAGGCATCCCTGCCCTAGGCATGCCTGACAAATGACAGAACAAGGAATACTTCACACCAGACAGAAATTGTACCAGACAAAATTATAAACATTTTGTCTGATTTAAAAAAAAAATTAGTATATGAATTTTTCTCTCCAATTCCCTCTCTCGCTACCTTGCCTATTTTCTTTCTATCTCTTGCATTCTCTCTGTCGACTATCTCTTTAATTCTCCCTATCTGTCTTTTTCTATCTCTCTCCCCCATTCGCTTTCTTGGTACCCTTCCTATCTCTCTTCCTCTTCTGTCTTCCCTGGTCTCTCCCATTCTTTTATCTCTGTTTATTGTATGTCTTTTTAATAGTCTTGGTTAATCTCTGTTCCCCTATTTCTCACACTATCTCTATCCCTATATCCTTCTCTGCATGTATATATGCAAGAAATTTAATAAAATACAAACACATGTGACACTGTTTTTATTATATATATATATATATATATATATATATATATATATATATATATATATATATATATATATATATATATATATATATATATATATATATATATATATATATGCAAAGGCAACACACCTTGTGTGCGCAGCTTGTCTGAATGTGTCAATGCAACAAATCGCGTGTTATTATTTATTTCATGCATGGTCTGGGTATGCAAAGGATATCTGGCCAAATATTTTTAATGCAGCACAAATAAAAAAAAAAAAAAAAAGAAAGGTAAAGGAACCTTTCCACGCCCTTATGTGTTTTGGGCATATAGGGCCAGACCTATATTTTATAGACCAATTGACACCTGGTGGGTGATGTGGTCAGCGTCACGCCAGCCGCCTTTACTTTCCATGACAGTACCTGGTACCCATTCAAGGCTGGGTCGACCTGGGAGCCAATGTCATTTTTGAAAAAAAAGTCCGGAACCCATGACCTTCTGAACAGCATGTAGCGCAGAGTATGATGTATTTTTTTGAAGTCATATACTGATGCCTTTTTTGCTGTATTTATTTTGCCAAACTTTGTTTTAACTTTAAAACCATCTGAGACTGAACAAGCTAAATGACATGTTACCTTTACATGTTACTATTTCAGTTAGTTATAGTGAACATCAATAGTAAATTATTAGAGGCAGTGCTTGAAAAATTAGAAAACTTTGGAATAGCAACAGAACTTGAATTTACCTACGAACAAATGCTATACTAATTTTTAAACAGATCTGCATTAAAAACAATTAACAGCAATTTGAAATGAAAAAAAAATTGAATATGAACAGTTTTGAAATATGAGTAACCAGTGATTATGCCAGCTAACAAAGAAATGTGGAGAAAAAACTGAGTGTATAATCATACTGAAAAGTAAGAAATTGAGAGTACAGTTAGTGATTAGTTAAAGTTCATACATCATTGCAGATAGACGACAGGGTCGCCCTAGAACTGCACTATTCCTATGCCAGTGGAAATTAAATAAAATGTCTTTCAATGTACCATTTAGTTGGCAAAAGTCGAAGTAAATTTAAAGAAACCTTTTCGTGTTTCAGCATATTGGGCATGTAGTGCTAGACATATATATTTATTGACCAACTGGCACTGAGTGTGTGAGCGGTGAACATCACCATTTTTACTTCCCAGGACTTTACCTGGTCATCATTTTAGGTTGGGTCAACATGGGAGCTAAAGTCAATTTTTAAGGATAAAAATCGACCACGAAGCAGATTTAACAGAATGCCTTATGAAGTGACTAGGAATGTTTTACTTGGAATTACTGGCTTACAAAGGTGCTGTTGTGTCAGACTCAAGTTCATACTGAACAAAGACATCTTCACCTCCCCACAGATCATCATGAACAGACAACAGTCTGGCAACAGAAAGACTGACCATGGTCTCTGCCACTGTGAAATGATGAAACCTGCCTAGGACTAAACTCTGGATAATACAAGACTGCAAACATCACAACTCCCCCTCACTGATGGTAGGTAATCAGTTCCCAAGCCTTGCACTCATCTCTCTGCTGTCTTCTTAGTCTGCCTCAAGGTCTACTCCCATTCAACACTACACTTTTGTGCAGTTTTTGTCTCTCTGTTATCTGCCATTTTCTTTGTGTGCCCCAACCCTTTCTGTCTTATAGCCATCATGAATCCAGTAATTAGCCATGATTTAAATAGACCATGAATTCAGCCGCTGCTTCGCACTATCCATTCTTTAGTTTGCACACCTGATGGGTTCAAAGATTTGTAGTCACACTACATAGTAAAAATGTGTAATAAGGCCTTATCTGCGTTAGCTGTACTTCAGGTGTGCATTTTTAAAATTACTGTGGCTCCTCATATAAAGGAGCTAAAGTAAGTGACTGTCTTCCAGCCCACTGGTCTCATGCTCACATCTGCATTGCCCTAGACCTTCCAGGTTAACCCAGCCTAAACCATGTATCTAATAAAGTTCTTGAGAAATAATGGCGTCCAGCATGATGTTGACCACATCATCCATCAAGTAACCAAAGGTCAATACAAAATATGCCCAACATGCCTAGAAGTCTTTACAACACAGTCACACACAGTTAAACTGACATGACCAACCAAGAACAAAGAGATTACTCATAGGCAAAGAATGCTCTATGGGGCAGATATGATATAACTTTAACCCAGTAACATATATACCATGTATACTACATAACCCCAGGCAAATGTCATATGTGAGCCATTTAATGTGCTCTTAAAGCCAAGTTAATGAAAATATTTCTTCTTGCTCAGATGGAAATACAATTTGTTAGAATGAAAAGTCTGTCCAATCAACTCCCAAAGGATTTTCACTTTTACATTCAGTTTTCATTGTATACAGAACTCTATGTATTGTATATATTAAAACTCAGTGAACAGTAAATTAACTAATAACCAGAACTGAAAAATACAAAAGAAAATATAACGCTGCAAAATTTAATCAGTAAATAATATACTTTTTATGATGAATATTTTGTCCAGCCTTCTCACTGTTGTATTTAAGCCAGGATGATGGATGGAAGGGAAAGAAAAACACCAAACATTAATAATGGCCTCAGAACTCATGGCAATTCCTTCAGTTCTAGCTAATTCTCAAAGCTCTTTTACTACCTCATCCATCTGAGTGTTGAATGATTTCATAATTATGCAGACATTTTTGATGGACAACAGATAGTATTGACACGCAATGTATTATGTCATAAATATTTCATCTGAAAGGGTTAAATAAACTACAATACTTAGTAGCCGGCGATCTGAAATGTGAAAAACAAGTTACAGTCCATGAGACATCACTGCCACAGGGTCGACATCTAGGTTGTCACTCTGATAATGTAAAAGCTGAAAGGTCATAATAAAATAGGCACTGAAATAAGAAAAGTCATAGGAAGGTATCATGCGACACTGACTGAGTGAGCACTTACTGGCAGTTTCTTTTGACTTAGTCATGGTGTTGCCTGCAAATGAAACCAATTGGATTCGTGAGTTCTGGTGATTTTAAGTTACCTTTAACAAATAATTTCTCCTGTATATTCAAGTTAGGAGATTCTGCTTGAACTATAAATGAACATTTATGTAGCTTCGCTAACAGATAAGAGGACACAGTAATACATACATATGGCATATACCCTTATTTCAAGAATAACCAGATATATAAATCAAAGTTAGTGGGAATCAGTTTTACATTAAAATTTAAAAAAAAAAAAAAACATCTGGTGACACTGCCTTGATCCCTGTGTAGTGCACAGATGCCTAAGCTTCTCAGATAAGGTTTAAAACAGGAGCTGCTGAGTACACATTACAAATCTCCAAGTCATCGGAAATTGTAAGAAGCAGCTTGGAACAGTCAGTACTCTTGGTGAATTACAAAATAAAAAAGAAAACCAGCTGTGATGCTAGTAAAACCATCCAGGGAATTTTACTGCTACAGAGTATACTGGGGGTGCAGTGATCCTTAGTGACCACAGCATCTCGGTAATTACCCATGTGCAATGACTGTAATCTATTACAAAGCTTTAAATCTGGAAATAGCGGACAATATAAAGTATAGCATAAAGAAACCGAAATGAGCTCCTTAACGTTCCTCCAGCACTCAAGTTAGAACCAAATTCCTGGCTGTCACGGCAACAGCCACCATCTTGAAAAAAACATATGTAGGGTATTTGGAATCCTATAATTTCAGAAACAAAAATAGGTATCGAGAATTAAACTACTCATCCGTGAACTTTAGTCATACTTTGGGGCAATGCACTAGTCTAATTTATTTTAAAAAATTTGTAATTTTAAAATTTCTTAATGTTTTTAGCATTTTAAAAATCAAGTTTCTAAAAAAAATAAAATGAAGTTTTACGATGTAGCATCATAAGGCAATATGTTATTTTTTTTTAATTATTTAGTTAAATATACTTTTTTTAAAAAGAAATACTTATAATATTGTCAAATTTCATGCTTCTGCTCTTTATATTAGTCACAATTTTGCAATTTTAGACTTACAACAAACTGAAAAATAAAACTGCAAAAAACTGAATTTTAAACTTTTAAAGTCAAATAAAATATGATTAGTAAAGAATTCAAGTTTTCTTACACAGTATTCTGGTTTTACATCATATACATAAACAAACTTTGTATGTAATCGAAAGTTGAGCTTTACAAAAATAAATAATTTGAAAATCAAAATTTGTGTCATTAACTGAAAAAAAAAAAAAAAATTATTTAATAACCTGAACCCCTTGAGAAGAAGTAGTGACAATAATGAAAGTAGCAACCTCAGCTAACGACCATGTTTGGACAGTTATAGTTTTAGCTGAAGAAAAACTATAGGACTCAGAGGATTTGGAGATCTAAATAAAACTTTAAAACAAACAATATTTACTGAGTGTATCTTAGCTAGGAGATCAAAATTAGAATTTTGGGAGGATGCATCTTCCCTGTGGCTACATACGGATGTGTGTCGTGGACTATCTCTCAGTCCTTAAGAAAGAGAATAGGGGCCTTTGAGCTGAAATGCTATAGGAAGATTTTCAGAATATCGTGGACAAAGAAGATG